GCTGGAATCGAACCCATGACCCTCCGATCATGAGGCAACCCCGCTCTACCTACTCTTCTCTGTCGCGACCACATAACCTAACTTGTTTGGTTCTTTTGTTCTTCGGCAGCCTGATCTCACAACAAAATAAACTTTTTTTTTCCTGTGTAGAAGGCAGAGAATCCCCTCATGTGCTGAGGACATAGCGTGACCAAATATAGTTAATTGAGGGTGTTTCTGTATGTAAATGACTGAGAACAGACACGAGCACCTGGGTACACACAGGTGGGATTTATCAACAGACGAGTGCGGAGGAGCATGCGTACGAGAGGCCACCACATTTCATAAATCAGGGTTTTGACCGTTCATACGAACATTCAAAATTTCGTTCATAGGAACAAATTTAGGAATTATACTACGAACGTTGGATGAAGGAGGCCCCTGGAACCCCCCAAGGCACTTTACAAAGCAATCAGTCATTCACACACACATTCACATAGTGATGGTGATGAGCTACACTGACAGACAAGTCTGCCATACACAGGTGTGTTGGAGCAGGAAAACAGCCAAAACATTTTTTTTGTCAGGTTTTGGCCCTCCAGGACCAGAAATGAATGGCTCTTATCTAGGATATCTGTGTAAGAGCTATCAAATACTTTTTTTTTATTTCCAATGTATTTTGGTTTAAAGGATTAAATATGTAAGAAGCATCACATATATTTTTAGAAATATATTTATTACAAGGGAGACCCAGCACACGTTGGTAGGTCTATGTCTCTTGGCTGGCCAGGGAACACCTTGGGATTCCCCCGAAAGAGCTGGCCCAAGTAGCTGAGGAGAGGGAAGTTTGGGCGTCCTGGCTTAGGCTGCGGCCCTCACAACCCGACTCGGATAAGCGGCTGAAAATGGATGAATGGATGGATGGCATTTATTACATGTGGTATAGTTTTAGAAAACATTTCAATCTTCCAGCAGTAGTTAATGAAATTGGCTGTGAAAATATCAGCTTGGAAGCCAGAAAATCATGGTTAACCGTTTGTTAACCATGATTTTTTTTTCTATTACAATCATACTTCAATCTAGACATGAAATATTTTTTAAAAACAACCACTTAAACAGAAGACAGCCAGCTAAAAACTGATGGCTTATTTTTGAGAATTTTTTATCATGAGCTGAAGTATCTTATTGTAAGTCTACTGTTGATTTGGGCTCGACAATATGGAACAAAAGCTTATAAAAATACTACTACTACTAATAATAATGATCTATATAAATTATTATTGAAAAAGATAAAAAAGGTAGAAAATATATTTCATGTGCAGCCCTGAACATTTTATACCAATACTTAATGACAAAACAAGTTGTGTTACCAGACCTGGTTTTTATCGGATTTCTGCAAACTTTGAAAACCACCATTGTTTGTTTCGTTTGTTTGTTTTTGTCAGACTTGTAAGAATGAAAACATTGCCACACTGGTGAAGTACTGTAACATTTCTTTGGGAAAATGTCTTCCACCTCTCCTAGCTGCAACATCTTATTTAATTCACATTGCTGTCGTTTAGGTTTGGCGGGGGGAGGGGGCTTGGTGACCGAGCGTGCTTCGGTCTGTGTTTCTGATTGGTTTGGTGTAAGTAATTACTCTAGTATGAAGCTTCCAGATAGGCTTTAATGGAAAAAGGAAACTTAACTGGAGTTTTTATTGATCCATTGTTTTTCTGTCGCACCACATGTCTATTGATCGATAAATATCATTACTGAATTATTGTCCTGCCCTACCACTGATATTTAAATTCCATTGTGGTCTCCATATTTTACATAAAATTACATCATGATCCTTTAATAAAAGACAGTGTTATCAAAGAGCTCTTAGCCATCCATTTCACTTAAAAAAAACAACACATCATGTTCTCTACCACAGGCTCATGTCTCTCTTGGACCTTCTGCTGTAGAGGTGTTCAAGTGAAACTTTGGCTGACTGATGCACTCAGTTCAATAAAGTGGAGGAGGATAAGTAAAGTGGAACACTTCATTAGAAACTCAACCCAGCCACAGATTCCAGTGCCAGTTATCTGACTGGAAATGTTTTTACTTCACCAAAAAGGTATTTACAATGGCACAGGGTTACTGTTATTTTGTTAGGGAAAAAAATGAAGGGCTGCTTTTTGGGGGGAGAACATTCCTCAGTAATCTGTCACTGACACACACAACCTAAAATAGAACCCAGGAGATGTTTTCTTTCTATTTAGGTTGTTCTGGAGCTCTATAAAAAGCCATGGAATGACTATTAGCTATAACATGCTACTCTTTTTATTTTTACTTTATGCATTAATTTGAATCGCTCAGAACTGTACTAAATTGACTACTCATCACTTGTGCTGGTCAAAAGTACACACACATGATTGAATATAAGATTATAACAAGGAAGAAACATGTAATCTAAATCTATTGCCCACCTCAAAAAAGTAATATGGTGGGCTATAATGTTTTGGCCTGTATCTGTGTGAGTTGGTTTGTAGTGTTAGCAAAATACCACAGGAAACACTGGATGGACTTAATTAAACTCTCAGGAAAGGAATTATTTGATGTGATAAAGGTTTGGAGTCAACCACATCTAATGGACCTTAAACATGCAAATGGCTATAACTCAGTCAGTTTCACTGTAAATGGCTGCTGTCCAGTCGATTATGCTCTTTTATTTGACACAAGAGATGGCATTGGCATCCCACTTCGGCTTGGATGGTGACAGTGAGAGTGTCGTGTACATTTCTGTGAGATTTATACTGATCGAAATGGTGTTGTTTTTTTGTGGATAAATTATTAAATAACTTATTGGAATATTGTGAAGTGTAACTAAAGCAGGTGTTCTTGCATGTTTTTACTATTAGTCTATGAACCCAATGTGCAAAAGCCCGTTTTTACCTCGTGAAGTGGCCATGTTAATGACTTGTCTGCACCCTGTGGCAAGCGGAGCAAGGTATGCATAAGTCACAATATACTGCGATACATTCAAGTCAGATGTAATTATCGATTTCTTTTTTACTGAATTTATTGCAGAAATATTCAATAAACAGTCTAAACTTATAATTAACATGTTTAACATGAGGTATCTGAACCAGAATAGAGGGATTTACATTTCAATGGTGGAAACAAAACTAATTGCACACTGCTGCTAACTAGCGGTCGGCGTTTGAATTGCACCAACAGAAAAGAAAATACATGAATGTTAGCATGTGAATTCTTTCAAAAATTAGATACATGCCTTTTGAATATTGATGTAATATCACAGGAAAAAATATCACAATATATTGCCATATCGATATTTTTGATACACAGCTTTGGAATATCGATATAATATCGCTGACATAATTTTTGCGATATATTCCTATATTGATCTTTTCTTACATCCCTATTCACAGCTATTGAAAATGATCTCATAATTTGGCTAAAACGGCTCTAGCTCTATCGTTTCTCAACATATGATGACTTAAACTGACATGGACAGCAGCAGCCACTGAATGCTAGGCTTTACAGCTCCCCCTTCAAAGTGTGACAGTATGAGTGGGAGTTCTGCAAAGACATGTATGATGTGGCATCAGTAGTGTTCCTAAGCAACATCCACATGCACAGCTCTTCCCTTTCTTCTCTAACGCCGCCTACGACGGGTTATTTTGGTGAGGACAGGGAATTTGCTGCTACTCAAACCATGTCTCACTGCTCCTGTACAACACGTTTTGACAAGACATCTTATCATAAAGGTGAGATATCAATCGGTTTTATTCACAAATAAAGAAGTATTTCACCTGGCAGCTCTGGACAAAATATTTACTTGAACAATGGATGCCATTGTACTCCCCCACAAAGCTGACTGGATTTGCAACACTTTACTAATTTTAGGCAGATGTGGAGTGAGTCCTCCTATAAGTTCTACACATGGATCTGCTCAGATTTGTAATCCACCAGTAGATATCTAGTCCTAACAAAAACCTAGGCCTTGGTTATAATTTGCAATGCGTCGTGGGTGTAATGGAATGAAAGCAGGGGCGTACTCCACCTTATTCCTCCTCTGTGAGCCCGTCTCACCCACTCTCAGCAGAACATGCTATTTAACCAGAGCTAACCACACACTCCTAATCTCCTGGAAAGTGTCAACATAAACCAAATGTCTCATTTACTTGGCATTCTTCACTCCTTTTGCTGACTCCTCTTTGCTTCTGCCACACACACACACACACACACACACACACACACACACACACACACACACACACACACACCACCACCACCTAAAAAACTTGTCTCATTTATCACGCTGTCTGTCAGACTTTTCCTGTCTGCCGTTTGGCTCTGTGTCATTAGGGGTCACCGTGACAACGGATGAGTCAGACGCAGTGGAGACGCCTCACTTCCTGTGAGTGTAGAACATCTCCGACTGAAGCCAAATGAATGACTGTACCATCATGGAGAAATTCCTCCCTAAAGACTGACTCACAATCCACAGGATCAGGAGAGGTGCACCGCCAAAGTATCAGGGAATATTTGTCGGTTTAATGAAAATCATTTTAAAAAAATATGGCTGTAACACCATAAATCCTTTTAAGAAGTCACTCGAGTTTCCATGATTTCTCTTTTGTATATAGGTCTGTTTCGTATCACTTACAGCATGAATCATTGCTTTGTGATGCCAAAGCAGCATTTTTAGGTCCTAACATTCTGGTGATGTGCTCTGAAGGAGCTGCGATGCAAAATCAACATTTTTATATGTTTAGAAAAGCTCTAAATGGAGCCCTAAAGAGATAGCACAGACAAAATCAATAAACACTTTATTCCATTTTGCAACCTATTTGGTTTTACTTAAACATACACCAACAACTCAACGGCCATTACTGACAATAAAGGTGAGAGAAGCTGCTAAAAGTCATTCACAACTTCTCAGGGCACACAGACACACACACACACACACACACACACACACAGAGCGAGAGAGAGCTTACATAGTCATGAACATGTGTTTGAGTGCTTACATCAGTTTTCCTAAACTTGGCTTTAAGGCTCTTCATGTTCAGTCTGATCCATGCAGTCAGTCGATTGCTCTGCTGAGGCTGTAAAGAACAAAACGCAGATGTTTAAACAAAGCCTCAATAATGTTTGCACCCATTTCAGATGTGATTCTGAAGATTTCTGACATGCTGAGTGTTTTGGGATTTTTGACGCACACTGGTTATTGCGATACGAGTTATAAATCTGGGTTTTGTCAGCCGTGAGTTAAGCTGTCAGGAGTTTTACAGCCAAAGTAAATCAAAGTTGTTTTAAAAAAAAAACTAGAAATGTATTAAATGTTTCATTGAGGATATGTTCGGTAGGTAGAAACGAGTGTGACACATCTGTTTGAGGCTCTTTACCGTTTAACGTTTGATCTGAGTTAATAAGTAATGGTAAATATAGATCTCACTAATTAAATCTATGCAACACCCATGTCTGCTAATGGTGCATGGTTTTGTTTCCCCTACAAGGATGTTGTAAATCACAAGAGATCTGTTGGGAATGTCTGGTTACTACATTTTGGCAACACCTCAAGGCAACCTTTTGGAGTTTGGATTGGCAATCTTACTTTAATCTAATTTGCAGAATACTGTGCATAATGTTTCTACTGAAAGCCAAGTGTAGGACATTTGACTCGTAAATACTTTTGCAGACAGAAAGCATGAGTTGGAGGGAGTTAGGTGGGTTAAGTGTAGCCTACCAAAGGTGTGTGGATACTAGAAACGTGTTTTGATTAATCTGGACACTATTTGGACTGATATCCATTTGCCTACCGAGCTCACTGATTGACACCAGAATCAGAAGCATCACTGTTTACGAAAACATGAAGGTAGCAGAGGTGCTGCTGCAGACACCAGCTGCTCTTCTGCAACATAAATAAAACACAGATTTGTAAAACTGTTATCAAGTCAGACCCAAGCTAATCCGTTATCACATCTGTGTTATTTAGGAGGAAACACGCGGCTTTTTGAGTAAAGCTTTCAGGAAACCCGCTTTAGAATGAAAACCGAATATGAATGAACCTTCGTACTGCATCTGATGGAAAAGCGTAGCTTCTCCTGAACGGAGCCGAGCTTGTGCCTCTGGGACTCATTTACTGTTTAAAGTGATTTTTTAAAAGAAGATAACGGTTCATATAATCAAAACTACTTACCCTGCTGTGTTTTGTGGACTCACAGGACTGCTGGACACATGAAAGACACAACGGCTTTCTTCTTCTTCTTTGAGACAAAAACAGAAATTAGCCGCCGAGAACAACGAGCCGCAGCGAGGCTAGTAGCCCGAAGAGGGAGAAAACAACCCGACGCTTCTCACTGGCTCCACTCGGCCCACATACATTAAAAGTTGAGCCGTTCATGGACTCCTGCTGCTCTCGCGCTCGGGACTCAACTCCGCGAGCCTGCTGCTGCCCGGTTTAGGAAAGTGACGTCACGCTCCCTGTGCTCTCGTGACCGCGGAGAGCGAGCCCGCTTCTGAGCTCCATTAGCTCTGTGAAGCTGACCCCCGTGAGCTTCAAAAGTGCAGGCAAATAGCCTGCTCGGTTAGCGCTTCGTTTGTGTTGATTTGTGCAGGTGAAACTGACGTTTGTTCTGCTATGGTTTCTGAGATATTAAACTTTATTTTATAGGTCATTCAGAGCCCCCCCCCCCCCCCCCCCACACACACACACACACACACACACACTCCAAACTGCTCCAAAATGGACCACAATAGTCCACTTTTTTAGTGCTTTGTTTGTGCTGATTTGTGCAGGTGAAACTGACGTTTGTGCTGCTATGGTTTCTGAGATATTACACATTTTAATTTAGTATGATGACATCAAATTCCCAAAGTGCTCCAAAATGGACCATATTAGTCTATTTTTTTAGTGCTTCGTTTGTGCTGATTTTTGCAGGTGAAATTGACGTTTGTGCTGCTATGGTTTCTGAGACATATGCTTGACAAAGTTTTTTCAAATACCATGTGTGCCTTTTATTTGTAAAAGAGTTCAATAAAGTTTTGCAAGAAAACCTGTCTCATTTATGTTTTTTAAATAAAGATGGGAGACAAGATAAGGTGTGGCAGTACCCCCCACCCCCACCCCCCTCAAAGGGCGGATTCCAGATGCCCACAGGAACATGGAGCAGGGCGGGAGGAGGGGGACCCGGAGGGAGGGCCGAGAGGGGCCGAGGGCCCGATGAAGAGGAGGCAGGGACCAGTAGAGTCCGGGGGCCTGCGCCTGGGGCAGAGGAGGCGACGACGACGGGCTCTTGGGGGCCTGCGTCTGGGACAGAGGAGGAGACGAGGATGGACTCTTGGGGACCCCCGCCTGATGAGGGCAGGACTGGTGGTGACCGGAGGCAGAGACGCCCTTGACTTCTGGACTGGAGGCAGCGTCGTCGGCCTCTGGGCTGGAGATGGCGGAGACGTTGGACTGGAGGGAGCGTCGACCTCTGGAGTGGACGAGGCGTCGACCTCTGGAGTGGACGAGGCGTCGACCACAGGACTGGAAGAGGCGTCGACCTCCATCGACTTCTGGTCCGTCGACTGCTGGACCGTCGACTTCTGGTCCGGGGGCGTCGACTTCTGGTCCGGGGGCGTCAACTTCTGGTCCGGGGGCGTCAACTTCTGGTCCGGGGGCGTCAACTTCTGGTCTGGACCGTCGGCTTCTGGTCCGGGGACGTCGACTTCTGGTCCGGGGGCGTCGGCTACTGGTCTGTCGACTTCTGGTCCGGGGGCGTCGGCTTCAGGTCCAGGGGCGTCGACTTCTGGACCGTCGACTTCTAGTCTGGGGGCGTCGGCTTCTGGTCTGTCGACTTCTGGTCTGGGGGTGTCGGCTTCTGGTCCAGGGGCGTCGACTTCTGGACCGTCGACTTCTGGTCTGGGGGTGTCGGCTTCTGGTCCAGGGGCGTCGACTTCTGGACCGTCGGCTTCTGGTCCGAGGGCGTCGACTTCTGGTCTGTCGGCTTCTGGTCAGGGGGCGTCGACTTTTGGTCCAGGGGCGTCGACTTCTGGACCGTCGGCTTCTGGTCCGGGGGCGTCGACTTCTGGTCTGTCGGCTTCTGGTCCGGGGGCGTCTGCTTCTGGTCCAGGGGCATCGGCTTCTGGTCCGAGGACGTCGGCTTCTGGTCCGGGGACGTCGGCTTCTGGACCGTCGACTTCTGGACCGTTGACTTCTGGTCCGGGGGCGTCGGCCTCTGGTCCGTCGACTTCTGGACCGTCGACTTCTGGACCGTCGACTTCTGGACCGTCGACTTCTGGACCGTCGACTTCTGGACCGTCGACTTCTGGACCGTCGACTTCTGGACCGTCGACTTCTTGAGTGGAGGAGGAGTTGCTGCAGACGGGACCGCTTGGACAGGCTGGACCGGATGCCGTGCGACCCCCTCGACCACCGCTGGAACAGGATGTGACTGGACTGGTGGTGCTGGAAACTGGGAGAGGAGGGAGGATAGAGTGTCCAGTTGGAGCTCCTGGAGACTGAAGCTCTGATGGAGTTGGGCCAGCTCAGCTCGGAGACCGGCGAGCTCTGCTGGGTGGACTGCAGGCTTGCTCCTCTGGCTCTGAAACGAGGGAGTTGCTGGCTGGACTGAAACCCTCTCCTGGTATTCGGGGAAGACAGGTTGTCCAGGTGGGACTCCTTGAGGCTGACGAGCTGACGGATCCGACCAAGCTCCGCCAGCAGATCTGCGAGCTCTGTCAGCTGGGCTGTGGGCGTGGTTCCTCTGCCTGCAGATGACGGAGGCGCGGATTGGTCTGACTGGGGGCGGGTCCAAGCAGGTGCGCAGAGCTGGGGCAGCGGCAAGCTCGTGGCTCCGTCCTGGGACACAGGATTGCGGTGGAGCCCGGCTTCCTTCCCCACGCCGTGGGCCAGCTCCGGGGGAGCACACAGCCAATCTGGTTCCCATGAAGCTGGAGCGATCCGGAATCGTCTCCCGGTCCAACCTCTCATCTGGCTCCAGAAGGGTGGAGAGGAACGCTGCGGTTGAAGCCCGGTGACGGCGTCTGTGGCGAGGCAAAGGCGAAGCCGGAGGAGGAGAAGAAGCCGGCCGGTGGTCCAAAGCGAGGAACTGGAGCAGGCACCCCAGGGGAGAATCTCCCCGCTGGATCCTTTACTGGGTCGGTTCATTCTGTCACCGCGTGCCGGTGAGTGGAGCGGAGGTGAGGATCCACACGCTGGGGAGGAATCAGGCAGGCAGACAAACCAGGACGAGGTAAAGTCTTTAATAAAGCACACGCTGGTCAATGAAACAATGAACCGACAATAGACACAGAACTGAAGGGGTTTAAATACAAGAGGGCTGGGAGTTTGGGTGATTGGAAAACGAGAGGCAGGTGAGAGCAATTAACAGAGACACATGACTAAACAGAACGGGGAGACAAGACAGGGTGTGACAAAAGGTAGGTCAATTATGGACAATTTGAAAGGGCTTTTATTTTTGAAAGCAAAATCAGAATAACTTGATATTGATACAGTATCACTGTGGGGTTGTATACTGTTGATCTAAAGTGGAATTACCCTGTGGAAACAACAATTTGCTATTTTAGAGCATTTTGAAATCGTTAAAGGTCGATCAATTATGGACAATTTGAAAGGCCTTTATTTTGGAAGGCAACATCAGAATGACTTGATATTGATACGGTATCACTGTGGGGTTGTATACTGTTGATCTAAAGTGGAATTACCCTGTGGAAACAGTCATTTTCCATTTTAGATCATTTTGAAATCGTTAAAAGGTAGGTCAAATATGGACAATTTGAAAGGCCTTTATTTTGGAAGGCAACATCAGAATGACTTGATATTGATATGGTATCACTGTGGGGTTGTATACTGTTGATCTAAAGTACAGCAATTTTTCATTTTAGAGCATTTTGAAATCACTGAAAATTAGGTCAATTGTGGACAATTTAAAAAGGCCTTTATTTTGGAATGCAACATCAGAATGACTTGATATTGATAAGGTATCACTGTGGGGTTATATACTGTTGATCTAAAGTGGAATAACCCTGTGGAAACAGCAATTTTCTATTTTAGAGCATTTTGAAATCACTGAAAATTAGGTCAATTGTGGACAATTTAAAAAGGCCTTTATTTTGGAAGGCAACATCAGAATGACTTGATATTTATATGGTATCACTGTGGGGTTGTATACTGTTGATCTAAAGTGGAATTACCCTGTGGAAACAGCAATTTTCCATTTTAGAGCATTTTGAAATTGTTTAAAGGTAGGTCAAATATGGACAATTTGAAAGGCCTTTATTTTTGAAGGCAACATCAGAATGACTTGATATTGATATGGTATCACTGTGGGGTTGTTTACTGTTGATCTAAAGTACATCAATTTTCCATTTTAGAGCATTTTGAAATCACTGAAAATTAGGTCAATTGTGGACAATTTAAAAAGGCCTTTATTTTGGAAGGCAACATCAGAATGACTTGATATTGATATGGTATCACTGTGGGGCTGTATACTGTTGATCTAAAGTACAGCATTTTTCCATTTTAGAGCATTTTGAAATCACTGAAAATTAGATCAATTGTGGACAATTTAAAAAGGCCTTTATTTTGGAAGGCAACATCAGAATAACTTGATATTGTTACAGTATCACTGTGGGGTTGTATACTGTTGATCTAAAGTGGAATTACCCTGTGGAAACAGCAATTTTCCATTTTAGAGCATTTTGAAATTGTTTAAAGGTAGGTCAAATATGGACAATTTGAAAGGCCTTTATTTTTGAAGGCAACATCAGAATGACTTGATATTGATATGGTATCACTGTGGGGTTGTATACTGTTGATCTAAAGTACAGCATTTTTCCATTTTAGAGCATTTTGAAATCACTGAAAATTAGATCAATTGTGGACAATTTAAAAAGGCCTTTATTTTGGAAGGCAACATCAGAATAACTTGATATTGTTACAGTATCACTGTGGGGTTGTATACTGTTGATCTAAAGTGGAATTACCCTGTGGAAACAGCAATTTTCCATTTAAGAGCATTTTGAAATTGTTTAAAGGTAGGTCAAATATGGACAATTTGAAAGGCCTTTATTTTGGAAGGCAACATCAGAATGACTTGATATTGATATGGTATCACTGTGGGGTTGTATACTGTTGATCTAAAGTACAGCAATTTTCCATTTTAGAGCATTTTGAAAACACTGAAAATTGGATCAATTGTGGACAATTTAAAAAGGCCTTTATTTTGGAATGCAACATCAGAATAACTTGATATTGATACAGTATCACTGTAGGGTTGTATACTGTTGATCTAAAGTGGAATTAGCCTGTGGAAACAGCAATTGTCCATTTTAGAGCATTTTGAAATCACTGAAAGTTTGGTCGTACATGGGCAAATTAAAAAGGCCTTTAGTTTGGAAGGCAACATCGGAATGACTTGATATTGATATGGTATCACTGTGGGGTTGTATACTGTTGATCTAAAGTGGAATTACCCTGTGGAAACAGCAATTGTCCATTTTAGAGCATTTTTAAATCACTG